GATCGTCATCCTGAACTTAATGCTCCTGTACGAGAAACGGCAAAGACTTAGGTGAATAAGGAGTTTTTTTTTAGGGGAAAAATTTAAATGAAAGCGGTTTATTGTTTTTCTTGCAGATTTCTTCTTCATTTCAAAGGTAAACAGAAATAACGATAGCACCATTCAGCAGCAATTCACTCACATTCATAATAAACATTCGAATTTAGTTGTGTTGAATATGTTACACTCGTTCCCAAATTTCAGACATTACCGTGTTCTGACAAAGAAAAAGAGAATCAAGCAGCGAGTAATCACAGAGCACTCATGACCAGCCAAGATTTCTGGTTTATAGCTTTTGCTCGTTTGCAACTTGCGGAATAGTTGTTTCTTCTCAAGGGATAGATTGCAATGTTCCATGAATTTGTATTTTCGATATTCAAGAAAAAGTATTATACTGTGGAAACTCTTAACCAGTTTTTATTGAAAAAAGATTTCAAATTTGTAACTTTAGATTCTTGTTGATACACAACAGATCGTACTTGGCAGAAAACCGATAAGGAAACGGAGGGTGACGTGCTTATCATTAGCTAGTTTTGCCGAATAACAAAGGTGTCCAATACAAGATGGTTGAAGAAGTAACTTTATCCCAAGCATTTTTGCTTTATAAGCCGAATTTGGACTTACAAAGTTTCATCTAATAATATGCCTGAACGCAGTTGTACAATTCGCAACAGAAAGTGCTGGATAAGAAAGAGCCACTTTCGGCCACGGAAAATAAGGTATACAAACATATATGAAACCAACATCAATATTTAAACGGTTTTAAATTTGAACTGAGCCACATAGTTCTTGTCTTTTTGTGTTTTTACAAAAGAGTTAGAATGCTTCTGATGCTGTGTACTTTTCGCAGATTATTACTGTCTTGTCTGAAGCTCGAAACTGAAAGTTTTCTGTAAGATATAACAATTTCCAATGGATGCCTAAAGGGAAATTTAATATTACCTTCTCACTCTTCGGTGTCTAGTCTATACTGCAATGTTACTAGCGTTTCTGGAAAGCTCCAATCACTACTTTGGATTTCAATGTGCAATGTTATACTTAAATTAAGCGTTAATTTGGAAACCTGACAGTAACATTACCTCAAGAGTGTTTTTTAGAAGCTCATAAGAACACTTGATCTTCCTGCGCATCTTAACTTGAATTCGCTATAATAACTCTGTTTTTGATTGTTTATTGACCTAATTTACATGCAAAAACATTGGCAAATTTCTACACTCAGAGGACATCTACTGCTTTGATTGTTAATCAGTGCAGCTAAATTTATTCTATTCACAAGTCTATTTACAAACAAAACAATAATAAAACCGAATCAATTTTTATACGATCAGGTCTTAAATACTACACAGCATAATAATTACTTAGAATTCATGTACATTTCTTTACAATTGGATCTAACCAATGCCTTAAAATCCATGCATCTTTCGTGAAGTCTCCCACAGATGTTCAATATCGGACATTCGCCGCTCCTTCTGAAAAATGACGTAATTTACCATAACATACGACAAACAGTGTCGACATCTGTTGAAAATACCTGCTGTTCAGCAGTTGGTGGTACAGCTTGCGTAGTTACTGGAACAACTGGCTGAAAATCGCATAGGCTAAGTTGATTTACAGGATTCAAATTTATATTTAGGAAAATTACTTGATTGAGATGATGTAAATCCTCAGAAATCACGTGAATAGTTTTTGCGAAAGCGTCCTGAAATACATAGATCAGCTGCTTTTTGAATTGATCTCTGAGATACATCTGCGGTAAGTAATCTGATGCCAAGGGTTTGGAGCCTTAGTCCTTACAAAAGTCAGACATGTCCCCAGGCCAGAAGAGCTGTCTTTAGCACTTTTTACCAAAATACGGCATAAGTTTAAAAGAGTGAAAGTTAAAGTTACTACTTCAATTAACGCATTTCCTTGTTTTGTAAAACTATAACTGGTTGGCTCAAACTAGTTTTGTAACCAAAAATATCTTATCAGTACCAGTGTAATGATGATAATCTGCAAACTGAACGAGGATGTTTCCTTCGCGTGCCCTTTGGCTGATTTGTACTACAGTATAAGGAACGAGGTCTTTGCAAAAACTTTAAAACTGCTTCTTTTTGGAAGATTCTCTTTATATTGAAAAATACGTCTCGTTTCCCAAACTGGCACTACGATCTTCGAACCGCCTCAACAAGAAAAACTACTACCATTTACTACATCATAAAATGATCACGTTCAGTAAACTGTGACCTTGTACGGGTGCGGTTCTTTGCGAAGCGACAATTTGCAATCTCTCGCGCTTGTTCTTCGATTCATTCACTTACTCGTCGTAAGTTGTTTAGGCATTGGCGTCCTTGCTTCATTACTCAATAACCAATTTGGTTGGCTGACTACTGACTAGGTAAAAAAAATCTAAGATCCATTTTGCTGCGGTTACATTCGCGTGCAATTTACCACAATGTCTAGAAAAGGCGCTCTTAATTATAAGTTTGCTGCTTAATTTAGTACTTTTGGAGTTTAACAGAGTTAATTTATTACATTGTATGCTTCAAAGCAACAAAAAAAGAGGCATAAAGGTATTTATTTGTAAAGAAAATTTCCAGTTTTACACGCAGCTTTTTGGAAAGACCTTTGGTTCTATTACTAGTGCAAGTTCCCTATTGAGATGATGACATTTATTCCTTTCGCCAACTCTCCAAGCTATCTTATAAAAGACCACTTCAGCAGGACTCCGGAAATCTGAAGATGTTAGAAGATTCATAGGATCAAGTTCAAGGCTAATTTCCCTTTCCATCTATCTTTTCTACTACCTCTAGTACTATGAAACAAAACACAAAAATCATTTTCTGGAGAAC